GGAGAAGGAATGAACGTGCCTTGTTCCACAGCACCCGAGGGTGTCTTTTGAAGTCTTACTTTTTGGTCAGAAATAAGACTTTGAATTATATTTTTCTAAATAAATGTATTCTTTCACTCATCTAATAAGTTCATCATGTTTAATTTAGAAATACATTTATCCAGTTCTTACTGTGTGTACAACACTGTTCTGGGCACTGAAAATACAACAATGAACAAGATGGACATTGTCACACAATGTGTCCATGGACACACACATGGAGTTTATGGCCTAATGGAAGACATGAAATATAAACAAAAAGCAAGTAAAATATGGGATGTCGTTTCTTGGTTCTACTGTAAATGCTGTGAAGGAAACAGAAAAGGTTATGGGCTCACGAGTAATGGGTGCTTTTCACAGGGCTCCGCATGGCCTTGGAGAAGGAAAAAGATTAAGATCAGACTATTCTCTCAGGCGTTGCTGATAGGAATGCTGTGTAGAGGAGGAATTTAGCAACACCTAGCCAAATTACATACGAATTTACCCTTTGACACAAGAATTCCAAAGACATACTGGCAAAAATATGAAAAGACATTTGCAGAGAGCAATTCGTTGGTCACAGGAAACAGACCAAGCTATACCTGGTTCCACAGGCACCTCTAAATGTTTATTTCCTACAAAATCATAAAAGCTGCCCCAAATGGTCTAACGCTGAACCGGCTTCTGTCTGGGGAAGCGGCAAATGAATCTGCTTTCTAAACCACCTAAACCACCTTAATGTGACTCCCGGGAAAATAAACAATCATGAATCGCCAACCTGTGCTGATGGAACCCTCAGCTTCCTCCTCCAGCCTCGGATAAAGCAAACTTCGGAAGCAACCCCATGCTTCCAGGAAAGGCCCGGGTGGGCAGCAGGTGGCTTCCACTGGCCACATGTGGGGCCCTGTGCTTGCCACTCCAGGCTAGGCCTCCAGACGCCAAACTCTGCGACCCTCAGCCCAACATCAACAAGAACTCTGGCTATTTTTGTGCTCTGGGCAATTTAGTCTCACCCAGACAACCTAAATTTGTCTTATTTCTGACCAAAAAAATGGGACTTCAAAAGACACCCTCATCCTCCAGCTCAGAACAGAATCTTGTGGCCTGTGAGCGGTCCCACCTCCCCTCAGACCCTCCCCAGCCCGGAAGGGCCCACAGGAAGAGTGTCCCAGGGCCCTCCCTGCGCTGGCCCTGCCATCTGTCCCTTGGGCCTCTGGTGCCTTCTGCCTGCAGACGCCTCCCGCAGAGTCCCTCCTGGAAGCTGCTCTCCCCAGGCGGCCCCGTCCCTCTCAGTCTGGCTGAGAAGCCTCCCGGTGCTCAGACCCCAGGCAGGTCAGGCTTTCAGCCTCTCCCGGCTCCCATGCCAGGGCTTGCTGTCTCTGGTTCAGCTGTTCCTCTGGACAGCGAGCCCTTGGAGGGCCAGGACGGAGCCACGTGGGTGGACACGGGAGGCTCGCATGTTGGCTCATCGGCCGCTGTGTTCCAGGGCCCCAGAGCGGGGGTGCCCCAGCGCCTTCTTCCCAAGGGCCTCTTGTCCCCAGGACAGCGGCTCAGTGTCCGGCACTCAGAGCCCCTTGGGCTGGGTATCACTGCCAGTCTGGGTGTGGCTACCATGTCCCCGTGTGACTCTGTCAGAAGCCACCGACATTCCCATTGCTGTGGACCTGCCTACTCTCCCGGCCTGGCCCCTGAAGGTGGACAGTGGCTCCCCCAGAGCCCAGGGCACATGGGATGGGCCTGCCTGGCTGGTCCCACAGGCAGCAAAGGCGGGGGTTGGGAGGGGCCACTTCAGACCCAAAACAAGGCTTGGGCCCCACAGCCTCTGTAGGCCAAGGGTGGGCGGGACTCATGACCTGTTGGTTCTGCATCCTAAAGGGGCTTCTCCCACCCAGAAATCTCAGCACCGCCTCCAGGCAGGCCCAGGCCTCCATGCTGAGGTATTTCCAGCCGGGTCTCATCACTGGCTTGCTTCAAGGGCTGTTTCCATAAATGGTGCTGCTCTCATAATTACCAGTCCAGGCCTCAGATGGCTCTGGACCCCAAATTAAAAGGGAACACCCACACATACCACCACATCAAGCCCGCCAAGGCCAAGAATAGATCCCAGGAGATGTGAGCAAGAAAGATGCAATTCCTCCAGTGAAATCCCAGGAAAGAACTGAACTGTGGGAATTTTCCAGAAAGAAGTGGTCAGTGACACATCCTCTCTTGCCTGTGGGAAAGAGGTTCTGGGAGGAGGGGGGCTGGGTGTACCTCCCCACCCTGTGCCTCACCCCGGAGGAGCCCCCATCAGCAGGCAGGGGGTGGGCACATTCTTCGGTCAGAGCTGGAAAGGCCTTCAGGCAACCCTGCAGAGATGGGGAAACTGAGGCCAAGGAGGGGCAGAGGGTTTCCAGGGTTAGATTAGAGGCCCGTGTCAGATTAGAGGCCCGTGATGTGGATGTTCACACTTGGGGCCAGTGTGAAACGAGTGGCCCTGGAGTTCAATAGGACATATTGGGATGGGGGGTCACCCGTCAACAAGGCCCTCCTGTCAACAGACACCCGAGAATGCCCGTGAAGCCACCTTCCTCCAGGCGGGGCCCTGCGGGGTCTTGGGGTCCCAGGGGAGGGCCCAGGGAGCTGTGGCACCCATTGTTAGGCCCCACACAGACAGGGAGGGCCGGCCCCACTCTGTCCCACCTGACCAGGCCCAGCCTTCTCCCCACTCTTGACACTCCCTGCCTCTTGCTGAGTTCCTCTTTCCCTCAATTTCCTGCCACTCAAGGGCTGGGTGCACCATGGGGGCGTGCCGGGAAAAGTCAGACTTGGTCCCTATTCTCAGGTTGTTCAGGGGATGCTGGGAAGTAGGAGAAAGGGGGCTAGGTGTGCCCCTGCATCACACAGACAGAAAGCGACTGGAATCCCAAGAGAAGTGCACGCAATGCAGGACAAGTGCTCTGGTGACGGTCGTAGTCACGTACAGGGCTTTGGAAGAAGGAGGCAGAGAAAACTTTCCTTGAAAACATGTTCAAGAGGGGTGGAAGAACTCTGAGGAAGAGAACTGAAGAGTCACCTAGGGAAAGGCTGAGAGGCGGGAGATGCTGTTCCAGGTCGCACTTTTGAAGCACTGACCTGTGTGTCAGGCACCATGCTGGGCACGTGTGGTACCTCGTTTCTGTTCATGCTAACCTGACTGTGTTAGTTATCTGTTGCTAGGTAACTCATTTTGCAAATGTAGCAGTTTAAAACAACAAACACATATTGTTGCACATTGTTCTCAGGGCCAATAATCCAGGAACTTAGCTGGGTAGGACTGGATCAGGGTCTCTCATGAGGTCACAGTCAAGCTGTCAGCTAGGGCTGCAGTCTCTGAAGACTTAGCTGGGGATGACCGATGCACTTCTAAGCTCTGTCTTTAGCTGCTCACCATGCGGCCCTCTCCATAGGGCTGCTCACCTCATGACCTCCCCCAGAATGAGGCATCTGAGAGATGGAAGCCACAGTCTTTTATAGACTAATCCTGGCAGGGACCTATCACTAGGGTCATATTCTATTGGTCACACAGACCAGCACTGGCACATGTCGGAGGGGACACAGAACTCTGCGCATGCCAGGAGGTGGGACCATTGAAGGCCATGGTGAAGGCGGCACCACGACCACCCTGTAGGGGACATTATTCATCCCAGGTTATAGATGAGAGCACTAAAGATCCCGGAAGTTAACTGATTTGCACAAGGCCGCAACTGGAGGCATCCAAGGTGGGATTCAGGTCTAAGTCTGCCTGGACTCCAAAGTCTACATTCGTTTCTCCTCATTCACGGCCTCTCCAAGCTGCAGCTATGTCAAGGGAACACCAAGCGGTGCAGTTGACTAGAACGCTGAACTCGGAATGCCAGGCTGGGGAAACCTGAATTCCATTCTGGCTTGAAGGGACACACACAAGCTCCTGAGCAGGAAAAGCCATGATGGGATTTTCACTTCAAGAACTGACATTTCAAGAACATGCAAGAGGCCAGGCGCAGTGGCTCACACCTGTCATCTCAGCACTTTAGGAGGCCGGGGTGGGTGGATGGCTTGAACCCAGGAGCTGAAGACCAGCCTGGGCAATATCATGAGACCTCGTCTCTATAAAAAGTGCTTAAAAATTGACTGGGCATGGTGGTGGGCACCTGTACTCCCCAGCTACTTGGGAGGCTGAGGTGGGAGGATCATTTGAGCCTGAGAGGTTGAGACTGCAGCAAGCTGTGATCGTGCCACTGCACTCCAGCCTGGGTGACACAGCGAGACCCCATCTCCAGCCAGGAGCCATGCCTCCTCTCCTTTGGCCTTGTTTGTCTCCCAGAAAATGAGAGAAGGATCTTGTCGGTCTTCTGCACTGTTGAACCCTCACACCCATGTTTGCCAAGTGGGTAATGGACATTTCTCCCATTTGGGGATCATTTATATTGAGTAGTCTTTGGGCCTCTCTTTCTCAGTAAATGAGTAGACTTTGGGTTGGGCTGGGGCTGTGCTTTTATTAGCCCCCAAGATAAACAGGAAGGGGAACAGCACACAGTAGGTTTGTAGCAGTGCTTGCTAAGGAGTGTTCATAGACTGCTCTTAAAGCCCTGAACGAGTCAACTTTCTCCATACCCGGGTCTTGCCGCCGTCAACTTCCCCAGAACCCTGGTGTGCAGGGTCCAGGACTGTTGAGAAGGAACGGCTGCTGCTCAAGATAGAGTCAGCAGTTAAAGGAAATTACCAACTTTTGCTTCTGGTCTTGCCACTAACCAGCTGGCCTTGGGCTAAAAACAAATAAAGCTGACATTTATTGAGCACTGACCAGCCACTCTTTTCATAATTTTACACAGATTAACTCATTTAATACTCTTAATCATCCAATGAGGTAGCTCTCCCATTTTACAGATGAGGAAACTGAGGCTCAGAACATTAAATAAATTAGACTATAATCGTATAAACTGTATCTTAGGTTAAGCTCTCTGGGCAACAGACACTGAGTCAGAAAATTTACTGGGAAAACTGGAAACTTTACTGCTTTTTGTAGTGAATAAAGGGAGCAAGTTTCGGAAACAACCAAAACAAAGGCCTCAGACAACTGTGACCGCACGGGGAGCTCTGGGGCTGGTGGCCCTTCAGAGCTGTCTCTCCTTAAGGCAAGAGGGCTGGGCACCGATACTGCCATAGACCAGCTGTTGGATGTGGGGTGTCCCCAGGGATGGTGTCTAACCTCGGGCAGCTTCTTAGGGCCCAGTCAATCAATACCTAGAGAAGGGCCAGGCATGGTGGCTCACACCTGTAATTCCAGTACTTTGGGAGGTCGAGGCTGGTGGATCACCTGAGGTCAGGAGTTTGAGACCAGCCTGACCAACATGGTGAAACCCCATCTCTACTAAAAATACAAAATTAGCCGGGTGTGGTGACGGGTGAAATTCCATCTCAAAACACAAACAAACAAACAAAACCTAGAGAAGGAGCTGTCAGCAGTCAGCACTCCAGGCAGCTGGGTCGTGAGCGACTCAATGCTGAAGAGAAGCTCTAGGAAGCCCCCCACAGCATCCACTACAAGGAGGCCTAGGTGGAATGGGGATTTCACCCAGGCAGCCTGGGTCAGATCCTGGAGCTATGCTTTTTACTACTCTGCTCTAGGTCCCTAAGTAAATGACTGGGGGTCGGGGCATAATCCCACAGGTCCTTCCCTCATAATACCCACAGCCACTTATTGAGCAGTGCCAGACACTTGCTAAGTTTTGTTTTTGGTTTTATTTTATTTATATATTTATTTATCTTTTCAGATGGAGTTTCGCTCCTGTTGCCGAGGCTGGGGTGTAATGGTACGATCTCGGCTCCCTGCAACCTCCATCTCCCAGATTCAAGTGATTCTCCTGCCTCAGCCTCCCAAGTAGCTGGGATTACAGGCACCCGCCACCACACCTGGCTAATTTTTGTATTTTTAGTAGAGACGGGGTTTCACCATGTTGGCCAGGTTGGTCTTGAACTCCTGACTTCAGGTTATCTGCCCCTCCTCGGCCTCCCAAAGTGCTGGGATTACAGGTGTGAGCCACCGTGCCTGGCCAGACACTTGCTAAGTTTTTATGTGCTATAACCTATTTAATCATTGTATTATGATACAGGCATTATTATTATTATTTAGACAGAGTCTCACTCTCCCAGGCAACCTCCATCTCCCGGGTTCCAGCAATTCTCTCCCCTCAGCTACCCGAGTAGCTGGGACTACAGGTCCGCGCTACCATGCCCGGCTAATTTCTTTTGTATTTTTAGTAGAGACAAAGTTTCACCATGTTGGCCAGGCTGGCCTGGAACTCCTGACCCCAAGTGATCCACCCGCCAAGGCCTCCCAAAGTGGTGGGATTACAGGTGCACGCCACCACACCTGGCCAGATACAGGCATTATTATCCCAGTTTTAAAGATGAGGAAACTGAGATGCTGAGACTTTAAATGACCTGTTCGACAGCTCATAGCTCTCAAGCAGTAGACCCAGAATTGAAAGCCAGTGAGCCCCACTCCAGGGTCACTAACCACCACTCTGCTGCCCCACCTCCAGGGCCTACCCTCCTACAGCTGTGATCTACCTTTCATATCTGCTCCTGTGGGTCTGTGCATCCAGGACCCGGGGCCAGTCACTTATACTCTTTGAGACTCAGCTTCCTCCTCTGTGAATGAAGGCAGTCGTAATCACTTACTCCAGGGATGAGAAAACACTGCAGAAATGGGTAGGACTAGTCACTAGGGATCCAAAGCATGCACCATTCTGGTGGCCAGACAGAACTTTGGGGAAAAGGGACCCACCTTAAACTCTTGGACGGGCAAATACCTCTGGGCATACAGTCACCCTAATATTTGACTTTTAAGATGGATAAAAGATTTATTGTTAAATTGAAAAACAACAAAGTTGCAAAACAGTGAGCATTACTGCCCCATGCAGTTAAAAAAAGAAAGAAAAGAAAACGCTGGGCATGGTGGTTCACGCCTATAATCCCAGAACTTTGGGAGGCAGAGGCAGGAGGATCAGTTGTTTGAGACAAGCCTGGGCAATACAGTGAGATCCCATCTCTACAAAAGATTTAAAGCAATTAGTTGGACATAGTGGTGCACACCTGTAGTTCTAGCCGTTCAGGAGGCTGAGGTGACAACATTGCTTGAGCCCAGGAGTTCACAGTTGCAGTGAGCTATGATCATGCCACTGCATTCCAGCCTGGGTGACAGAGACCCTGTCTCTGAAAATAATAATAATATACAAGTGTTAATATTTGTATTGATAAAATATCATGGTTGGTTGGGGGTAGGGAGTGCTGCATTAAAGGATTAAAATACTGATATTCTCTGACGTACAGGGAGGATTACTTGGGGTTTCATATCATATGTTTCTGAATATATGGTCTGAGCTTTCTATAAGGAAATTCTATAATTAATTTATATGATTTGAGTGTTCTAAAAGGAACATGCAGTAGTTCTATAAATCCTAAAACAAACATATTTTTTAAGCAGTAGTCTCAGTTTACATCACAGGTTCCCATTCGACACAGTCCATTTCAGCAGCACACACTGCATTTAATGGTGGGCCAGGCCCTGGGCTGTGTGGAGAGGCAGCTGCTATTCTGGAGAAGAGCAGAGGATGCGGAGGCAGGGAGACAGCCCGCTGTGTGGCCTTGGGAAAACCACGAACCTGCTCTGAGTCTCTCTCTCTTCTCTTTCAAACACAGATGTGACAGCAATTGTGAGATACCAATGAAGGAATAGACGTGGAGGCTCTGGGCACATGGGTATTGCTGGGTATCATCTCACACCAACTCAGAACAGCCCCATAAGATGAGTATCTCCATTTTACAGAGGAGGAAACTGAGGCTTGTGGAGGCTGACTGGAAAACCCAGATCACACTGAGATCAGGTGTCGGTGTCAGGATGTAAATTCCGTGTGTGTGGGTCTCAGGTCAGAAACCCCCAATCTAGCCCTGTTTGTCTCGCCATTGTTCAGCCCCTCCTGTTTCCAGATGGGGCGTGTGTGTCACCCGACAATTACCTTTAGGGCTCATATATGCATTATGTGTCTCTCGAACTAGAGAGTAATCTTCCTGAGGGCAGGGACTTTACTTTTTTCATTGTTGTATCTCCAGCAACTAGAACTGTGCCTGGTCCTTGGTAGGTGCTACAGAACTATTTGCTGAATGAATGAATGGGAAAATGAAACAGGTCCCTAGTAAAGAACCAAAGGAAGTGGCCCTGGGGCCCACGGAGATGGTGCCACCCTTCTAGGTCACATGGCTGGCAAGGGCAGAACAGGACCCGGGCCAGGTCCTGAATTCCCACTCAGTCCTGCTTCTCCCAAATCCAGACGGCTCTGTTCATCAACACCCCGGTCCATGGCCACTGGAGACCACAGGAGCAAATCTGGTTCAAGAAGGCATCGGGACAAAAGTGGAGCTGCCTGCATTCTGATCCTGGCTGGACTTCTGCCTGCTAGTCCTGCGTATGCCTCAGTTTCTCAATCTGGAACATGGGCACCTGCCTCTCCGCTGACATGGGTGGAGAAGGATTCAGAAGGAGTGTGCAGAGGTGGTCCTTCCTGCCATCCTTCCCCCCTTGGGAGGGGCTGGGCCAGCCTGAGGCACTGGGGCCGAGGCATGGCGGTGTTATGAGAAGGCGCCTCTGCCACAGAGCCACAGGGTCAGGGATGGGAGGCACCTTGCTTTTCTGATGCCATCACCGTAGAATGGACGAGAAAGCAGAGGCTCAGGGAAGGGAAGAGCCGTGGCCCAGGACATGCAGGAGCTAATGGTGGGCCCAGGCAGCACAAGAACCTGGGTCCTGCCTCCCAGTTCAGGGCTCTCCCCTCCCTGAGCAGAGAGACCAGGGACAGAATCCAACTGCTCCATCACTGTCCTGCCCAAGAGAGCCCAGGTCTACAGGCTGATATGGATGACAGGCCAGGCGGGGCCCCGGCTCTGACCCCAGCCCTGGCCTCCCAGTGCAGACTCTGAACATCAAGATGCAGGCTTGCCTTCCTAAAGCACCTGCTCTGCACAGAGACCTGACCCATGGCTGGAGGCCTGTGAGAGTCCTGCCCCCTGGGTCCTACAGGCTGTCATCAAGAGTTGGGCCCTAGGGGCACCAGGCCTGGCTGTGCAGGAGCCAGATGAGGCTGATAGGAGAGGTGGAGCTGGTGGGAGCAGGTGTGGGAGCCTGGGTGTGGGTGGTGTCACCACAGCGACCCTGCTATTAGATCCCGTGGTGGCCTGTGCCTCTGCCCGCATGCCTGTAATCTCAGCTACTTGGGAGGCTGAGGCAGGAGAAGGGCCACCGACCTCCAGGGGCCTCCAAACATGGAGAGAGCATCCTGGTATATGTCTAATCGGCGCCCCACCCCCACCCACCCCATGGCCTCAGTAATTACCAGTTAAAGCTACTCTAACTGAGAGAGTTCTACTAGTGCAGTTAGCAGAGCAGAATAAAGAAGCCCTTCTGACAGCTGGCCACGCCCACCCGCAGCCGGGGCTTCCACTAACAACGACCTGCTTGTTAATCCGCAGCGCTGGAGGCCCCGGGTCTGCACGAAATGCCCAGAGCTGGGGTGGGAAGAAGCTGGGATTTGGAATCCACAGCCATGGATGTCATACCGGATGTGCTGTGTGGCCCTGGGCTGGCCATTTAACCTCTCTGAGCCCATGAAACAGGGCTGGCAAAAGAGTCTCACATCAATTAAAGGAGGAATGGTAAGGCTGTGAAAGTTCACATGCTACTTTTCATTCTAAAAACAGGCACAAACATTTTTTGGTTGGCTTTTAGAATCCATTTCTAGGTTTTACATGTGTACAAGACACATGGAGATGTTCCTGTCACCTCCAAACTAGGCCACAGCTGGGAGGGCCTGGGGACAACAGTGCCCAGGTCCAGGTTCACCTTCTGAGGGGGAATGGTACAGGCTTTCTATTCCTGCCCCTCTACCAATCACATAACAACCCTGAGGACAGATCACCAGGCACCTCATTTTACAAGGAGCAACCAAGGCTGAGAGGGTGACGAACTTCCCTCAGGTCACACAGAGGGGTAAGCCCTGCCCAATTCCCAGCAACAGCCCCACCAGGCTGGGCATGTCCTGACCCAGGGGATGCCAGGGGAGGTAGGACATGGGCTGGGTGGTGACTCATTCTGATGGTCGACTCCCCCGGGGACATTCTTGGACGACTCCATCCACAGCTCTTCTTGGTCCTGAGCCCAGTGTCAGCCTGTCCTGATGACAGAGGCCCAGTCACAGCTTCACGATGGTCTCCTCTGTCCCACATCCCCCACCCTGTCCTCTAACTAGGAAGGCAGCATCCAGATCCCACCGGCCAGATTCCTGTGCCTGGCACTGGGCGCTCACCGATGGTGAACGGCTGTCTCCTGCTACTCACCTCCACCACCAGCTCTTGGGTTGTGGGGAGCAGAGGCTTGCTCAGAAGAGGCATGCCCTCTTCTGCCCTAGTGTAGGAAGCAAATGGCTGACGGCCCCACAAAACCTGCTGTGGCTCAGTCCCCTGTGTTCTTCAGCCCAGACTCCTCAGAAAGCTCTCTGCACCCTGAAAACCTGACCTGACAACAGAAATGTCATCTCACTGGGCACCGGATGGACAGTCAGGCTTCCTGGCTGTCCTGGCTCAGCGGCTTCGAGGCTACACTGTCCTAGGCATGGCGCTGCCTCTCTGAGCCTCACTGTCCTCATCTGGGAGATGGGGATGAAGACCGTGGCTGTTATCAGGGTTGTCGGGAGGATGAAGAATTAATGGGGCAGTTATCCTCTCCCTCCTCTCAGCCCCACAGCTCCCCTACTTTGGGCTGAGCTGTGGTCCTTGGCCCCCAGACCCTGGCCTGTCGCTAGCCACAGACAGGAGGCAAAGCAGATGGGGGACCTGACCAACAGTAACTACACGACCATAGACCAAAGAGTTTAGTACTGGAAAAAAAAATCTCTGAGATCTTAAGAAATAAATTGCTCCAGGGTTTGATACAAGATGTTTGCAGACAGGAAAAGCCAGGCTTTGCCTCGGAGAACAAAGTGGGTCCAGCTACCCACTGGGCCATTCCACAGGCCCGGACACTCACCCTATACCAGATCACATCCGAGGTGTTGGGCCCAGGGTGACAAGGCCACAGTCCCTGCCCCACTGAACTGAGCCTGCGCCTTCCCCAGCCGCTCCCCTGACAGCCGCACCTCACCCAGGCTCCGCACAGGGAAGAGCCTGCTGGGGACTCAGGGCACGCGAGTTAACTCTGGTCACTCTGATGATGTGACCACAGGTTTCCACGCTGAACTTTGTCCCTCTCCTCAGTACTGCCCTTATCACAGTGACAGCATCCCGGCCTCTGTTTACTCACCTGTCTCCCCAGGACCAGGCTGTCTGCCTGGGGCAGCCCAGGTGGGCAAGGACATCACCTGATTCTTACTCCTGGGTGTGTTTGGGGCAGGGTGAAGGCAGCGCCTGGGAGTCCACAGTTCCC